GATGGTCGGTTTTGTTGAAACCACCAACCAGAGCATCCTTATGCCCCCCAAAAAACGTTTTCCGTGGCATTCCAGAAAGAACTCCTTCGCCACAAAAGTTTGTTTCTACACAACGTAACTTCGGTTGCTAGATTCGAGGCTGAGATGCACAGGGTCTTGGATGGCCTCGGGCAAGCTCCTTCAGAGATACGCTGGCACGAGAAGGAACAGTTCTTGAGGAGTGCCTTCGACAGCACCGGGCCGGCACGGTCGGGTTTGGCGAATATGACAAAGCAGGGCCCTTGGGAAAGAAACAGGTTCTCAGTGGGCAATCAAGGTTTAGTCGTGCCCAGAACCCAGGCCAGGGTCGTTGAGGCTCATTTGCACTCACTATATCCTTCACCTAGCCTGTTTGGCTTCCGCTGTTGGAGATATTGTGTTCTTTTGGGACAGCCTTGCGTTGCTCCTGGGTCCATACGCATGTTTGTCGAATGGCCACAGTGCAGGACATGAAGTAAATAACCTTGCTACGTCCGGCTTTCAGTCCACTTATACTTGGCAGTGTTTCCTTCCAGCCGTTCGGATGTTTCTGTTGAGATCTGCGGCCAAACAAACCCATTGCTGAAAAGGACATGTTGTACACGCTGCTGCTACACTTGTCCGGATTCGTGCTGGACCAAAACTAGGTTGACACCCACTAGGAATAGGCCATATTATATAAATAGTTATTTATTTTTATCCCTCTCTGTCTCGCTATGGAAACCATGCAAAATCACCAGGCACCAAGGCGAACTACCCATCAACCTGCTGCTGAATCCGTGTTTAGCGAAAAGATGCACGCTGGTAAAGCCTGAGTTTTCACATTGATGGAAAGGGCGCAGTTCCAAGCGTCACATATACTGCCAAAAAGCAGATCCGTTTGATACTGTTTCTTTCAACTGCACTACGCGGTGGACACATTTTGCAGAGTTTGCCGCCAACTTGAAGATAGTGAAGCAGGATGTAGGTAGCCAAAATGCAATGCATACCAGTGACACTTACTTGCGCCGTTGCGCAGTGGCACCCTGCGTGTTGCTAGTGGGCACCTGCACGCGCAGCCCCTTGATAGAACTGTGTTTTGCCGCGCGCGTTGTAAGTTCTTCTCCGACGCTGCGCTGTAGTGTTCGGGCCATGTCTAGAGCAGTGTGGCGACACTTGACAACATATGACTCCTTCCAGAAGCCACAAATTGCCCCCTCCACTGCTGACGAAGGACATTTTATGTACACCAGCTAAATTTGTCCGGGGTCGCGCTGGACCAAAACTAGGTGGACTCACAAATATGGCATGGCGCAAAGGATTGTTGTGACGTTCAAGTATTGAGGCTTTTCAGTGACAAGGCAAGGTTGATTTTGGGTGAGATCTCAGCATCTGGAATTTTTTTTGTTTGTTGGTTTTGGCAATGCATGCCATCGTTAACATTCTGTTATTTCATGAGAGCCGCTGGCTCAACACCAAGAAATACATTGTGGTGGTCCTGTTTGTGGCTGTGGCAGCGTGATCTTTTAGGGTCTTCGCAGTTGCCTTCTGAAAGATCAAACGCCTTCAAGCAGTGGTAAAACGTTATTTGCAACCCACATCCCTTTTCAACGTGGATGCTGACCATTGGAACATTAGAAATTGCCAGTCGGGATCTTTTATTTGCGATGTTTCTCTGCCAGTTGTGGGTTGCACCTCTTCTTTGGCGGTGAGCGTCATGGATCCCTCCAGTGCCCCACCCTCCGGTCCGTAAGTTCCGATCGCCTCCACGGTTGGCAGCTTCGCTGAGACAATCCAGACTTTGGGCGGCGGGTGGCAACTCCACAATACAAGACCTGGCAAGGACCCTGGCGAGGCGGGTGCCCAATCGGGCCCAGAAGGGGTGCCCAGAAGGGGGCTGGAATGGGCCAACGGCGCTGGAGGTGGTTTTTGCTGGAGTGATGTTTGATAAAGTGTTTGGGACATCCTCTTGCAAAAAACGTTTTCAGAACATGTTTGAAAAATCGAAGTTGGGCAACAATGGATGACGCTCTATGGTTTCATAGCTGAGCATAGGTCATGTGCGAGAATCCAGATTGAACAGGTGCTTGCAACCCCTTTTACCATTAAAACAATCTAAAACCTTTAACTAGTTGCCCTGAAGCCTTGTTTGAGTACCTTCTTCCCGACCACATCTTGTCAAAGGCTATTACACAGGGAGCGTAAATGCCAGTGGGAGCACGTCTAGGTTGATTTGGACCCGATCAGAGACATTCTGAATCAGATTTAGCCCGCCCCAAGAGTGTGTCTGTGTGTGTGAAAAACTTTACACTCCTTCAAAAAACGTGAAAGACAGCAAATGTTTTGCGACATGGTCCTTGAAAAGAAGGGATGCCTAGTGTACTCAGTGATGGAATCAGAACACGTCCTTTTGCAGGTCTTGGTGGCTTCAGTCCTGCCCGCACAGGTGGCACGGGAGCGGGATGGAGCGGCAAGCGTGGCTCAAGTGGAGAATGACGCCCTGAAAGTAGCACCAACAAAGATGATAAAAGAATACTTTACTTCGAGTGATCCCGTGAGATTTGTGGCTCTCGATTTTGCTTGTGGGTCCTCGGTTTGTGCTGTGGTTGTGTGTTGTGGGTGTGTGTTTGTGGGTGTTTGCGATTGTGTGTTTGTTGATGTGTTTATGACTGTGTGTTTGTGGATGTGGTTGTCGTTTTGTTTGTGATTGTTTGTTTGCGCTTGTGTTTGTGGTTGTGATTGTGTGTTTGGGTTTGTGGTTGACTTGTGACTTTTGTGATTGTCGTTTTTGTTTTGTTTGTGATTGTGTGTTGTGGTGTTGTTGGTGAAGTCCGGCAGCGCCCAGTTCGCGAGCTGGCGGTTGAGGTCCGGCGGGGAACACTGCAGCTCGCGGTTGAGGTCCTGCGGGGAAGACTGCCAAGCAGAACTCGCGGTTGAGGTCTGGCGGATAACACTGCCAGCCAGAGCTCGCGGTTGAGGGGAAGACGCCAGCTGACATAAAGTCTAGCAACACTCACCTGACAGGTGGGGAACTGCTTTCAGAGAGGTACACAGTGGTTCAGGGTCCATGTTAGCTTTCAGCGGGGTACGAGGGGATCACATGTGGACTTGCTGCAAAGGCTCCTTTTGGAGTTATTGTTGTTCCCCACCAAAACATGAGCCTTTGGTGGGTGAATTCCGGAATCGAGCACTTGGTTTTCATGGATCTAGGAACAAGTTCGATGGTGTGAGGTCTCGCGCAAATAGGCTTGAAAATGAACAGGTTCCTGCGCAAATATTAACCTATACCATGTTTTTGATGTATGCTTTTGCGGGGTGGGTCATGACTTACAGCCACGTATTTCGCGTCTTGTTTTCCATGTCCAACGGGTAGGCTTTTGGGTTGGAGCACTGTTGGTGCCGTGGGAGTGTCGGGTTTGTTCTTGTCTCTTCCAAGACGCTATTGTTTTCCATGATCATCATTGTTGTCCCTGATATTTAAGTTTTTGGAAGAGCTAGAATTCTTTATGAATCTATATGATACATGTCGTAAATTGCACACGAAGTTGTGAAACATTGTGAAACCAAATAGAAAGGAACGCGTGAATCTACATTTTCTGAATGAGGTGCAACTATCTTGTTCCGTGATGCAGTGAATGTGCCAGCTGCTAGCATGTTTTTAGGTTGAATAAGTTTGACGCCAAACAAATTAACAAAATAACATATCATTGACAAAGAAAACATTATAGTTACATATAGTTACGATTTTCTACAGAGTGGTAACAAACCAAGAGTCTGGCGTTTGGTGTAAAATGCACCGCAGCACCCTCTATGCCATGAACCACCGGGTAAGTGTGTTTAATTTTTTAGCACCTAGTAACCTAGTAAAACCACTTGATAATTATTTACCCGTCAATAAACTGATATCCACAGGTTTCCAAGACGAATCCAACATGTCAGGTAGAAACCAAACTTGAGATTTTTCATCTGCAATCTTCATTTTTCGGTACCAAATCACCTCTGCACGCGATCGCACCTCGCACCGGGACCGGGGAAAACACCGCACCGAACGGGCCCGGGGCCGGGCGGGGCCGGTGCCGGGCGACTTCGCCTGTGAGGTGTCCATTTCGGTTTCGCCTTTTGATGCGCCGCGCCCCACGATTTCGCCTGTCGGGCGAGCGGTGTGGATGCCGATGGGCCCAGATGCGCCGACACGTTGCGCAGCCAGCGCTGGTGTTGCCTCCGTGTGCTGAGCGAGTCAAGCGATGAAAAGCATGTGGTGTGTAGATGCTATACTGAGGTGATAGCCACAGGTTTGGACAACAAAAAACAAACCTATTTTCTGAAGAGGACGGAGTCAGGACCCAAAATAGCGAAAACTTATGGTTTTAGGCCGTCTATAGGGGGCCACCCTGGTCGCAGGCGTTTGCAGTTGCAGGTGTTGGAGATTTTGGGTGTCCTGCAATCTTCGCCCCAGGGTTCCTGTTAAGCATTCAACCAGAAAACATGTTCAACCATTCGGCCTCTCGAAGTTTTTCCGAGATTGAGATAGGCCTCAAATTTGACATATTTTCTCCAGAACTTACGAGCAACCAGTTGTGTTTTTCATTTTTTCCTCGTTATGTGCAAATTAGAACCAGGTATCCAATGTCAATTGTTCGTGGCTGAGAGAAACTAATTTGTTCTTGGTCCATTGGTTTGTATTGTCTAAACTTTGTCGTTTGTCAGTTCAGGCTACATCTTTCCAAGAGCATTCTACCAAACAAGGACTCCTATGGTTGGCACTTCTTCATAAACAGCGTCCTGGGCGAGATGTTCTTCCTAGTTCTGCTCCAGTGTAGTCGTATACACTGCATACTGCATATTTGCCGATGGGGTGGTGCGTTTGGGGGGTCAATTGATCGGCAGTCCTATGGCAGTCCCAAACGGGTCGTGTCTGGGAGGGTGGGTCGGTGGGTCGGTTGCACCAATCGGTTGCACCCGGGTCCGGTCCACCCGTGGTGCTTTTGCGCGGCGTTCTCCAGGAGCCGGAGCTTCTTCAGAGTCTGGGAGAGGCGGAACCGGTGATCAAGCGGTGAAGCGGTTTCGTGGCGTGGAGCGGTTCAGATGAAAAAGGCAGAAGGCAGAACGGGTGAGACGTACTGGAACCGTAGCCAAAGCAGATCAGTGACCGGTATATATAAAAAGAAAGGAACGTCCACAATCAACAAGTTCATGTCTTTTCCTGGGGGGGTGAGTTGACAGAAAGCTTAGCTCACCTATATCATTGTTCGGGTTCTACAGCGCACCTGGCAGACTGTCGCAATGGGTAAGTAGCATGCAGCTTCGTTTTGCTTTGATCCACACCCACTGCCAGTGGCGGCCGTGGGCGCGGGGCCAAGGAGTCGGGACGGGACGTCACGTTCTTCGTCGAAGCAAACGACCTCCGGGACCAGCACCGATGGCTTTTCCTGTTCGACCGGTGATGGTTTCGGAGATTTCTATGTTCAACCCTTACTTGGGGATGATTGGACCCTCTGACTCATATTTTTCAAGTGGGTTGAAAACACCAACCAGATCCAACCAGTGTTTCTTTTTGGGCACCAAAATGATTCTTCTCCCACTTCGATATTCTTTCGACAGAAAACCACAGACACAGGTACCTCACAAGTTTGTGTGTGTGTCCACCCCTGGACAAAGGGTTCTTTACCACTACCTCGTT